TAGGTTACTGTTTTGCATAAGTGGGAAATCTCCAGATGAACAAAGATTGATTAAGCTACGGTTTTGTATAGGTAGGGAATTTTCTCCAGACCAATGGGGATTGAGTAGGTTACTGTTTTGCATAAGTGGAAAATCTCCAGATGAACAAAGATTGATTAAGCTACTGTTTTGCATAGGTAGGGAATTTTCTCTAGACAATGGGGATTGATTAGATTATTACTTGACTGTTTTGTATAGGTAGGAAATTTTCTTTAGAAGATTGAGGATTGATTAGGTTACTGTTTGGTGGTTTTACCATTCACTTTATAATAAGGTCCTGATTTTGAGTAAAAGCCGAATGAATTTTATAATTGTTAAAAGAAAATTTTTTGTTTAATCTGAAAAATTGATACTTTATTTAAAGATTTCATACATTTATTTCAATGTCAAATGAAATATAGAAATTTTATAGGATTTTAGTTCGATGCTTTAAGCAAATTTTGTTTATAATAATAAAGTAATAGAAATGTGCAGTTATTTTATTAATTATGTAAAGTTAAACTTTTTTTGACATTATAATGCAATACTTTACATTTTGAGTTTCCACTTATTCTTGTACATTTCTTCATGTAACTATAAAACTATAAATTCATGAGTGTTATTTAGATTACAGACTTTGAAAGGGAAGATTTTGTTTTTAGTATGTGTACATTACCTATTACATTCAGATTTTGTAGTTTAGTACATTACCTATTACATTCAGATTTTGAATGTTTAATACGTTCACTGTTGAGGATGCGTGTTTAGCATTCATTAACATGTGTGTCGTAAATATTACATATTTTATATTTGTTACTATGCTATTGTTTAAATTGAAAAATCAGCAATTTCTATAAGTGATGCCAAGCATTGGAGCAGTTAACATGTTAAACTGGTTATTTTCTTTTATGCTTTAGTACGTTAAATCTAAGTCAAACAAAAAGGAAAAATTCAGTTACTAATTTAGTTGTTTTTTAAAAAAATGTGCAGAGCACCTTTTCTTTTTGGTGGAAATATCTTAGTACTTGTTTTAAATGTGTGTATGTTTCTCATTCAAGCTCCAGAGGTATTGGCTCAGAAACCCTACGGAAAGGCTGTAGATGTGTGGTCAATAGGTGTGATTGCTTACATACTGTAAGTACATTTGGTGTTTTATCTGTGTATGCCAACTCATAATGAGACAATTCCATATCAGTGTGATTTATTTTATTGTCATTCATACTGGTAGACCTAAAGTAGACTTACCTGTCAGTAGGAAACATGCATGTACAGTAAAATCAGAGTACATCCTGGTAGACCTAAAGTAGACTTACCTGTCAGTAGGAAACATGCATGTACAGTAAAATCAGAGTACATCCTGGTAGACCTAAAGTGAACTTACCTATCAGTAGGAAACATGCATGTACAGTAAAATCAGAGTACATACTGGTAGACCAAAGTAGACTTACCTGTCAGTAGGAAACATGCATGTACAGTAAAATCAGAGTACATCCTGGTAGACCCAAAGTGGACTTACCTGTCAGTAGGAAACGTATGCACAGTAAAATTGAATTACATCTTGCTAGACCCCAAGAAAAGTTGACTTTAACTGTCAGTAGAAAAAACATTTACAGTAAAATGTTATTTAGCTCAAAGTGCATACATTAAAATTATCTTAAAGACATGACATTCATAAGGAAAAGTTTGTATTCACAAAACAAGTAGAGTAAAATAAGTATATATTGTTATTCCTGAAATATGTGCAGTACAATTATTTTAATGTTAATTTCCATTCAGAGCAAAACTAAAAATCAATCTGACAATCAGTGTGGCAAATTAGAGCCTAGCATGGCCTGGTGGTTAGGGTGCTCAACTCGTCACCTGAGAAGTAGTAGTAGTCAGTGTGCCAAATTAAATGTAATTTTCTTACATTTATGCTTATAAAGATTATAATTCATCAGTTGGATACCCTGGTTGTTAACAGTATTTTTGGCTATAATATTTCTCAGGGTTCAGCCAGCTTTGGAGAGTTAGATTAGTCCTAAATACATATATTAAGCTATCAATGCAAAACAACCTTTATAATGATAAAGAATATTAAAATTAAACAATAATAACATGTAATGTCAGAAATAGGAATTTTGTCTCCTGATAAAATACTTTGTTGGAATGCTTTTATTTTCTACCACTGGTGATTTATTTTTAGTCAATGATTGGCATTATTGCTTGTTTCTGCAGCTGATCTTTCAAACTTGTTGTTGTTGTCTTACTGCAGTAAGTGTGTGCCCTCATATCATTCACGTGTATAACAGTAATCTTCAGTTGATAAAGAAAGTTTTGAAGTCTCAACTCTAGATATTTACTCTGAAGAGATTTAAAGAGAAGAAACCATTTTTTGGGTATTAGCATTTTGTGCTTGTTTTATGATCTTCGTGTATTTCCAAGAAAAGAATAGAGAAATATATTCAAAGATACTTTCTCACAGTTGAAAGGTTATTAGCTACTCCATTTTGGCAAAAATATGCATTGGATTTCACATCTTGGAAATTCTGGTGATTCTTTTTGATATTTCATCACGAATGTGATACGAGACTCGTAAAATGAAACAAATGTAAGCTTAAAGAAATCTATTTGGGATATTCCTGCCCATAAATAAGAATTTATGTACTTATTAAAGCAAGCTTCCAGCTCCATTGCTTATGTTTTTGTGGAACAAGATATTGTAACAACTTACCGAGGAATGCTTACAATACAGCACTCAAATTCACATGTTGTGGAGTTAGAAGAATTAAATAAATAACTTTTGAGAGAGAAAAATTCAAAAAGATATTATATAAATAGAATTATATAAACAAGTTGCAAAGTACCAATGCTAAAACATTCATGTCACAATTTAACATTATCAATAGTGTGACATTATTCTAGCTTTTTTTGTTGATCTGTGCAAATATCTAAATATATAATTTCTAAAATAAATAAATTTACAGACAGTAATAATATCAGTTATATGAAAGGATAATAAAATTTGAATTTTCAAGGTGTTGATGTGAAAAATTAAACCCTGTTCCCTAAGAGCAGTGGTAACTATATAGAAATACAGTATGACAAAAGACAAGTAAAAGTTTTTTAATAATTTGTGCATTTTCATGATAATTTTCTCTCTCCAGACTATGCGGTTATCCCCCATTCTATGATGAAAATGATGCCAACCTGTTTGGTCAAATTCTGAAAGGTGAATTTGAATTTGATTCTCCCTACTGGGATGATATATCAGATTCAGGTAAAAAACAAAATTCTTTATCATGTGATGTAGATAATTTAGTTTCTTATAAGTCAGCTACGGACTCTTACATTATTGATAAAGGATTTAATACAAATAATTTAAATTTTTTCATTAAATTCATTTGGTTATAATTCTAGCTGATGATGTTTTGTGTTGTAAGTTAGTTATAATAGCAGAAGTATGAAAAATTATTCTGGGAGCACAGGTTGACTCTGTGATACAACTCTGGATTTTGGAACTGTGTAATGCAACAAAATATTCCCTGTGTCTTAAATTTTGGGTGCATTATAAGAGTTGCAGTCAGTCCTTTAACATAGGTTGAAAGGCAATGCTGATTGGCTGCCATCCCTTTGTTATGTAGTCCAAAATTAGGGATGACGGCAGGTAAATTCTGTAGGTTACCCATAAATACAAATTACAAACACTAGTTTTTAAACAGCTAGATTTTACATACTGTAGTAAAAAAAACTAACTCTTTGATAATATTTATATTGCGAAATTCAATTACTTGAGAGCCAGGCATGGCTTAGTGGAAGACCCAAGATTTTGAGCCCATGATATGCTGTCGAGCACTCCCTGCACTTGCATTTGTAAATGGTTTGTAAAAGTAATGACAGTCCATCTAGTTACCTTCCTTCAGGTCAGGTCCAAATTAGAGAATGATGTGCTTTAATCTTGGCATCTCTGATGTGGTTGTATAGCCCATATGTTATTTAAGGTGCTGATAAATATCACATCAATTATTGTTAATTCTTCATAGTTTCTGATACTGCTGCAGGATGTCATACATGCCAATTTACAAATCTCACATTTAGTCCTAAGGTTTTAGCCAGACTCCATTGATTTCCTTTAATCTTGGCATCTCTGATGTGGTTGTATAGCCCATATGTTATGTAAGGTGCTGATAAATATCACATCAATTATTGTTAATTCTTCATAGTTTCTGATACTGCTGCAGGATGTCATACATGCCAATTTACAAATCTCACATTTAGTCCTAAGGTTTTAGCCAGACTCCATTGATTTATGTTGTTTTATGATTTAAATATGTATATATATATGTTTTTTTCAGCTAAGGATTTTATCAGTCACTTGATCTGTGTTCAGGCTGACAAAAGGTTTACCTGCCAACAAGCACTGGATCATCCCTGGTACGTTTATTGCTTTAGATATTTTATGTATCAGGTTATATTCTTGACTGAAATGTTTTGAACAACAAGTTTTTAGGGTAATTTAGCAAGTTTACTATTTTATTTAATGATTTTACTTGTGGTCTATTTAGCAATGTATTGGACATCGGGGAGTAACAATTACTGTATAAACTAGATGGCAATGTATTGGACATCGAGGAGTAACAATTACTGTTTAAACTAGATGGCAATGTATTGGACATCGAGGAGTAACAAATTACTATTTAAA